GAAGTGAATACATATCAAGATTATTTTTTTAATGGGTCTGTCGTGTCCGCCATTATAACGTCTTCAAGCAGTCTATCCCCGACACGAGGTATCGCATTGAAAAGAATGGGAACTTGCATCCGGGCCGAATAAGGCTCCTCGGAGTTTGAAGGAATTCACACGCAGGCTAGTTGTTGTGGGCAATTCGAAGAAGTCACCAAACTGCAAGGTACAGTCCCGATTCCTCACCAGCCGGTAAGTCTGTATGAGATCGCCTCGGATCTGCCTGCATGCAAGAAAGAAACGGTTAAGCGCCTCAAGCGAACACTCGTAAGATAAGGAAGGTAAAATCTTCTCAACGTTTTTTTTCTGTCTATGAACAATTCACCTCAACACAAACTGGCACAGTGGCTTGTCAAGGAACTAAAGCCCATTCGACAACAATTCTCTACTTACAGGACAAAGGACGCTTTTCAATTTACTGAAGACAATAAGCTATAAAATAGTGCAAACAAGTGTATGCCTCATTTAGATGTGGAGGCATTATTTACAAATGTGCCATTGAACGAAAAAATTGAGGCCATATGCACTCATGCGTCAGAAACACGCCTGCCACCCGAAATACTACGGGAGTTGTTGATCCTTCGTACGAAGAATGTTCAGCTTCTCTTTAATGGGCAACTGTACAGACAAATTGCGGGAGTTGCAATGGGTATTCCACTCAGGCCTTCCTTCGCTGACATTTTAATGGGTCACCTAAAAGAAAAGGTCTCATCGAAATTTAATAAGACAACAATACGCAGCCAATACGTGAATCATTTATTCGCGATTGTTGATGCCAAAGAAGACGCCAAAAATCTTCTTAATTTTATGAATAAATTGCGTCCGAAGATTGAGTTCACGATAGAGATGAAGCAGAACAACAAATTGTTCTTCCTAGATGTCCTCCTGTTCAGAGAGGATGATGGTTCAATAAGGCGCACGGTTTTCTACAAGATTACCTGGAAAGGCCAATATCTACATTTTGCCATTTTCGTGCCAACACATTGGAAACGAAATCGGGCAATTAAACTTTTCCAGAGAGCTAAGAATATTTGCTCCAGCGAGACCCTACCCGCAGGGATTGCCTGCATAAACGAGGCCTTACTTAAACGTGGCTTCCCCTTACGTTTCATTCAAAAATACAGCAGACCTTTACGGCCTAAATCTACGGACCAGTAGGTTCCGAAAAAGCCCGTTTTTATATCTCTACCCTTTAAGGGAGACAATATCTCAAATACAATTAAGTGACGGTTACGTTGCTCCGTACAGAGAACGTACAATGCAGCTGAAATGGTGATTCCCACTCCAGCTAAAAGCCTTCCAGTTAACCGGTCATAGGAAGCCTTGCCCTTGCACGCCACCCCAAACTGCGTCTATGAAGTCACGTAGACTTGCGAATGCAAGTACATTGGACATACGCAAAGGTAGTTGGAGACCAGGGCTGCTGAACATTTGCCCACTTGGCTTTTAAAACAAGAATACCAAGTGTCACGGTCCTCCATTACAAAACACTTGTTAGACAGTGGTCACTCTGTTGACATCAACCCATCTTTCCGAGTTCTTGTTCGAGCACGGACACACCGGACCTTGCGCTACGTGAAAGCAACCTGTATACAGCAGGAGAAACCCGACCTATATAAGCAGTTAGACCACGTGGTTAAGTACCAATTGCCCTGGTAAATGGACGCCACATTTACTCAACCCTTTATTCTTGTTAATTCCCGACGCTACTTTTCTCTCCCAAATTTAACGATGACATTACTGTTAACCATTTGCCGCGTTAAACTGACCGTGCTATTCTTGATGTTGTGAAAATTAAACATGCTGTGTTCTCCAATTGTTACGTTATTCATGCAAATAGAAGAAGCTATTGACCAGCTCTCCCGAAGTTTAGTTTTACAAATAAATTCTATCGTTTTCGATTACTTCAAATTTGTACCTGGGACAAATGCTTTAAATTTCACAACTGAATATACTAAAAGTATCCAAAGTAAATGGTAAACTACAAACAAATAAGTTGTCATTTATGTAAAGTAAACTATGGTGATGTTTATAAGGAATCCTTGCCCATTTGTCGTCGGCGCGCAACCCAGTAACGGCTGCCGAACCTTGATTTGGTCACCCTTTTGGCCTGGCACAGGGGCCGCGAGGCAGTACTAGTACAATCAACAGTTGGATGATCGTACCGTGCTACTAGTGCTATGACTTCTTGTAATAAAGATACTATTAAAGGACAAAAATAGTGAGACCATTTTACGCACACAAAGCCATCATGGACCTTATGAAAAACTGTTTCATCCGTCCACTTAATTATTCAGTTGCTTGCTTCCTTTTTCCAAAAAATGTCAGTAAGACAGTATCCTATTTTTAAGACCCTCATGTCATGTGAAATATTCGTAAGCATAAGTACCATCAACACCCATGCAAAATCTTGTTAAAATACGACACATGTGGCTGGTTTTAATGCGCCATTTCTGCGCTAATACAACATTCAAGGTCTAAACCAATTAAAACATGCTTAGTAGATTTGCGTGTGTTTTAAAATAACTTTTATATGCGATTAATGTTAAGGTAACCATCATTATCTCAGAAATGACGCACAAATATATGTAACGAATTCTTTACAGTGATTAATTGTTAACATGGAATACCCGAAAGCTGCTAAGAACCTTATTTCATGTAAGACAGTGTTGCATGATAAGTGGTATTTACTGGAAAACGCAACGGTTTAAAGTCGGGGAATAAAATAGGGACAAACTACGGTTCAAATAATGCTGATCCATCGACATAACCTTTTTCGGTCATCACGCTGCTACTTCGATAACCGAACGGCGACTGGCATACGATCAAATGGCCACCTTATCGCTCTCGGCAGCCTGTCCCCTTTTCCCGATCAGGTCGGACGCCTCCGGATGTGGCCAACACCAAAGAACAAATCTTAACTGCGCTGCTTTCTCGGGCTCGCATCCTATTACCGCATGGTTTATCCGCATTTGTGTGCATATAGCCAGCCCCCTCCATAACCTCACATAGATGGGTAGAGAGTTCGCCTGGTCTGATAACTGCATGGATGTATTTAACGATCTGCATGCGGTTCTCTGTTCTGCCTCGTTACTTGCGCTGCCTAATCTTGCCGCCGGCACCCTCCCCCCTTTATCTTAGATACTGATGCTAGTCGACCCATCACTGGTGTATTACTGTCACAGTCTGATAAAGATAGGGCCGAGCAACTGAGTTGTTACACAAGCAATACTTTGACGACGACTCAACGCCGTTATTGCACCTTCCGACAGGACCTACTGACAATTGTTATTTTCCCCAGGCAATATGAGCTTTTACTTGTCGGCCAGCGCTGCCTTTTCGTTCCATTGCGACTGCCGCAGCAACTTCTATTCCCAACTGTTGAAAGAAGTATGCGACGAACTTGACGTCCGCAAAACTCATACTACGCCCTTACACCCC